CACATAGCAACGTTGAGATCGGTCTAATTTTGGATCGATCTTGTAGCGATCCGAGAGCGCGCGAGCCAAATTTAGTGGAATGTCCACACTTGCACAGAACTTTTGCAGTTAACGTACCAAATTATGGGGACTGGGGTCAAGAATCAAGATCAATTTTCAATATGGCGGATTCGGACACCGCGATTGTGGGATTGGCAATAATAGCAAGAGATTTAGCTAAGAGGTTAAAAAGGAAACAAAGAGTTTTCTTTCGCAGAAAGAAAAAAATGGCCATTTTATTTCTCAGACTAAGTGAAATCTATCTACGTCGAGAGACGGTGCTAAGAAGGTTCTGGCAAGAGCCAAGCAGAGGGAAAAGTTTATTTTGGGAAAGAACCGCAAGCCAGTGGGTCGATGACAATCTCTGGGTTGAAAATTTCCGCATGTCGAGAAATTCTTTTCTTGCAATCTGTAGAGAATTAAGCGAAGTCTTACACAAGAAAGATACAACGTTTCGTAAAGCCATTACTCTCGAAAAAAGAGTAGCTGTTTGCTTGTGGCATCTTGCAACAGGCGAAGACATGAGATCTTTAGGCTGGCGATTTGATATTGGCAAGAGTACAGCTTGCCAAATTGTTAATGATGTGTGTGAGGCTATAGCTGTTGTGCTTTTACAAAATGTCATTAAATGGCCAACAGGAGAGGCATTGAAATCCGTATTAAAAGGGTTTAAAGAAGAATGGCAATTTCCACAGTGTGCAGGTGCTATAGATGGGACACATGTCCCAATTGCTGCTCCATCAGAATACCCATCCAATTATTATAACAGGAAGTGTTTCTACTCAATTATCATGCAGGCTGTAGTGGATCATGCATACAGGTAAACAATAAAAGTGCAAATAAGTTCATAACGTGCAACCTTTATAGTGTATGTAATCTACAAGATACTCTTTTAAATACTTTTAGATTTATAGACATCTATATCAAATGGCCAGGAAAGGTGCATGATGCTAGAGTGTTCTCTAATTCATCTCTGTTTCATAAGGGTCAACAAGGGCAACTTTTCCCCAACGTAAGTATGAGATGTGATGAAATTTGTTAAAGATATCATGGTATTATAACGTTTAGATGGATCCCATTCCCATAACCCTTTAAGTGGAATGCACCCTGATGTGCCCTAAAAGATAATACAGTTACCTTTCTTTAGTGGACAGAAAATATCGGTAATTGTGAAGTTCCAATTACCCTAATTGGAGATGCAGCCTACCCTTTGTTACCCTGGCTAATTAAGGGATTTCATGATGATGGAAATCTCTCACGAAGTCAAATCCAGTTCAATAGAAGTCTTAGCAGCGCACGTATGGTAGTAGAAGGAGCATTTGGCCGTTTGAAGTGTCGATTTCGTTGTCTTCTTAAGAGAAATGATACAAGCCTGCAGAAGTTACCTGTCAAAATTGCGGCGTGTTGTGCTTTACATAATATATGTGAAATGAATGGGGAAAAGTTTAATCCAGAGTGGCTTCAGAATGATGTTAATAATAATATCAACATAATTAATGATGTTCACATCCCTGACGCAACTGCCATAAACATTCGACAAGCACTAACTAATTTCTTTAGTGCACAAAATGCGTAACATATTAACAAAAACTGATGCATGCAAACTATAACTTTACAAAGGCTGCGTTTTGCCTTTTTGGTTCATAAAAACGTTAACAGTACCAAAATTATGTAATTAATATGGTCATATGTTTGATAAACTGTTCCTCTTTTATAATTTATTATAATTTATAATATGTTTTGGTGCTGTTTTCATCTTCAAAGTAAAACTGATTACTGAGAGGTTGTTGCACAGTTGGCTGCTGTCTGCTTGAAATGGCATTGGCCAGTAATGCCATTGAATTTGAATTTGAATTTTATTTGAATTTTATGAATTTGAATTTGAATTTGAATTTTTTTTATAAAATATAGACTTTGCAACCATGAAGGTTGAAATACATCTATCATTTACAGGGTTGGTTGATTAGAAAAATATTGTATATTTACAAAAACATATTTACTATAATATAGGAAGAGTTTAGAACTTCTAGTATGATATTACCATAATATTTACAAATAAAAATGTATGTAATTTATAGTTACTCAGTGTTTATTATAAATCGTTACAGACGAGGGAATGTACGAATTTTTGAAGCGATTTGTCCGACAATTAATTGGAACGAGTTTATTCGATGTGCGTAGATTGTAGCTTGGATGTTCGGCTAGTTCGGAAAGAGGACTAGTTTGCGGAAGAACCTTTTTCCTAAAAAATTTTGAACATAACAGTTCGCGCCTAGAATACAATGTTGGGATATTGAGATCTGATAAGGATTCTTTGTATGATGACGATGGGTTAATTATTTTCAACGCTCTTGACTGGACCCTTTCTATTTCTTTGGATAGGTATTCAGGTATGTTATAATGCCAAACTTGGGCACAGTACTCCAAGATGGGTCTTACACATGAAAAATACACTGATATCAATGTTTTAGTGTCACAACGAGCTCGCTTGAGGAGTCTAAGCATGTAAAGGCGTTTTGCGGATTTTTTCACTATGTGAGCCACGTGGTCATTCCACTTTTGGTCGTCCTTGAAAATTAAGCCAGGGAGTTTAGCGGATTTCACAACTTCAATGGGCTGTTCGTCAACGATCATTGGGGGGAAATTTGGATTGTTTTTCCAAAAACAAACGAGGATTTCTTTGCATTTACGGGGGTTTAAGGACATGTTATTTCTTGCACACCACTGCGTAATTCCTTCTAAAATAGTTTGAAAGTTCGAATCTTGGTTTCTAGAAAGGGTTTCTGAAACAGACGAATCATCAACATATTTCCATCTATCGTCCCAATCAACCAACAAATCGTTTGTCATAATCATAAATAGAATCGGACCTAAGACAGTGCCTTGTGGAACCCCACCGTTCACTGGTTCGAAACTTGAGGTGTATTTACCTATCTTCACTCGCTGTTTCCTGCCAGTAAGAAACTGTTTTACCCATGCAATAAGAACGGGATCGATGGCCATTTCCTCCATCTTCTTGATAAGAATATGGTGATCAATCTTGTCGAAGGCTTTACTAAAATCCAGAAGCAGCACACGCACGCATTGGTCAGATTGGTCGGTAGTTCCATACAGATGATGAAAAAAGGATAGAAGAGCGTGAGTTGTAGATAAGCCGGCGAGTGATCCGAATTGTTTCCTGTCAACGAGGTGTCTGATCTGTGACATAATCCACTCTGCGACAAAATGTTCCAAGGGTTTTGAGAGAATTGGTGTTAGAGATATTGGGCGTAGATCATTTTCAATTTCCTTAACCTTATCTGTTTTACGAATAGGTATTACATCTGCTACTTTCCATGAAACGGGTACGACTCTCTCTTGGATTGACGCGTTAAAAATTTCAGCAACGGGTGATGAGAGTTCCATGGCAAACTCGTTTAAGACCCAACTTGGTAAGTTGTCAGGACCCGAGGCTTTAGTGCGTTTGAGGTTGGAGAGCTTCGTAAAAACATCTTCAGGAGAGATGTGGTATTTTGAAATAATTTCGTTAACTACTGCAGGATCAGTTTCAACGTTTTCCAATTGGCTGTTTAGAGGTGGTAGAGAGTTTGTGATACACAGGAAGCTTTCATTAATTTTTGTTGCTAATTCGGTTGAATGGAATTCTTTGCCCGATACAAAAACATTGGATACTGGTAATTTCTTAGGAAGTCCTCCAAGTTGTTTGATGGATTTCCACCAGGAAGCTACATTGTCACAGTTTTTTACCTTATTTGCAAAAAAGGAACTCCTAAGACTGTTATTTAGCCTGTTAACTTTATTTCTCAATTTTTTGTAAACAGGCGGGTCTTTGGCCATTGCTTGTTGTCGTTGCTGGATTAGACTCTTCAGTTCAGGAGTAATCCAAGGCCTGTCTGTTGGGTGTTGCTTGATTTTTCGGAGTGGGAAGAAAATTTCGATAGCAAAATTTAGCAAAGATTGGAAAGCAGCGAGTTTTTCCGTACAGTTTGATAGTGTTTCAAGGAATGACCAATCAGTAGATGCTAACCATCTTCCAAAACAGGACTTCATGCTTGGCTTTACATTCCTTCTAAAAATTGATTCTACTTTCGTTTTGTGAGTTCTCCTTAAAGGACGAATAAGTAGGGAGTTATGGTCACTTAAGCCGATTCCGGGTAGAATTTGAGGAGTGCTATAATGGTGAAACAGGTTGGTGAAAATTAGGTCGAGGATTGCAGCACCGCGTGTTGGATTTTTAACGGTTTGTCGCAGGTTAAAATGGTTACTAATATATCGGTAATTTAAACGATTAAAATCGCCAACCAATATAATTCCAGCATTAGGATATTTGTTCAAAGCGGCATCCAAACATGAAATTAGGTGATCCGTAAAAGTAGCATCATCGTCTTGTGGTGGGTGGTATATAATACCGATAATTAGGCAAGAAAAACCTCGTGGGAGTCGGTTCGGACGGAGGTATACCCAAAGAGATTCAAATGGGGAATCATTAAGTTCGTCAATTGTTGTGAAATCATTTGATGATTTGATGTACGTACAAACACCACCACCACGTTTATCAGCGCTTCGATCTTTCCGTACTAGCGTGTAATCACTAATGTCGACTACTGAGTTGGAAATATTATTGGTCAGTATATGCCTTTAATTCTTGTTTTCGTAGCTCGGCATCAACTTTAACCTGGTGTTTCATTTCTTCCAAAATTTTTTCATCTGATTCCTTTTGGGATTTTGTAAATTCATCCATACATTTTTGAAATTCTTCTTGTTTTGACAATCTTTGCTTCTTCTTGTTACTTCGTATTGATCCTATAATATTGCGTTTTGCATTTGATGGCTTTGATCCACTGGCTTCAGAATCTTGTGCATCATCAAGATCTGGAGTTTCATGGCCAACAGCTTTTTCTAACTCAGACATAATTTCTGAAGCATTGTCATCATTATCATCACCATCTTCACTTGAATCATGGATATCTTCACCTATTAAGATAATAACAATATAACATTCTAACTACCACTCTGTTATGCACTAATATATCAACCTTCCATGGCCAAGCAGTTCAATTAATTATAAAAACCTTGTATCACAATTTACAATGGGTTGTTCCAGAAAAGATCCATACTCCCCCCATGGAAGAAATTTCTGCCGTCCGTAGGGGGAGGGGAGAAAAATTGTTCCTGATAATAGTAAATGTATTAGGACATCCGAAGGGGGTAGGAGGGTTAATTTCCTCTGTGGGTGTGGTATGGATGTTTTCTGGAATAACCCAATGCACATAAAACTTGTACCTGCTTCTTTGCAACCACAATCAGAGCACTCAAAATCATCATCATCAGAAAACACACCAATGCATCCATTATCACTGATGTGAACCCCAGATGTTCGAATCTTTGTTGCAGTACCACAGTTTATGCATTTTTTCTCTAAATTTTTCCCTTCACCATATTTTTTTATTAAATCCAATTCTAAAAATTAAAAAAGCTAAATGAAATGCCTATAATTTGAATCAGTTATAGATAGTTTTAGAAAATTCTACTGTTTATAAACACGCAGTGATGGCACCATGTATAGGGGGAATAGAAACGAGGGAATCGCAATTTTGAGGTGAAAAATCAATTTTTTCTTACAAAACTAGTAAAATATTTTATAAACAACCGATATATTTCTGCAAGAAAACGATAATCATGCAGACTATGCAAAAAATATCCGTAGTTAAACACAATAATACAAAGGAAAGATTAAATTTCCACTTGCCTAGATCTGATTTATTTTCCGTTTCTTCTGAAATTGACGAAGACAAAGTATCGATGGCTGCATCAATTCCAGTGGCCTCAGGTTGGTCACCAAGAAAAACATCTAGCTGCTCAAAAAACTTCGGTTCTTTCACTCTTGCAGCCCCTGAACGAGCCAGTGCATCTTTGTACTTTTTATATGTGGTTTTCAAGTGCTTAACTTTTGTTCTACATTGTGTAAAATCGCGTTGGAACCCCAGGGTTTCCAGTTTTGCACTTTCCCGTATATGTCCTTGTTTTTACGTGATGTTGCCAGCATCTTTAAAATTGATTCTTGACTTCAAATCGATATTAATGCCAATACTTCATCATCACTCCAGGTTTCTCCTCGTTTAGCCATGGTAAAGCTAGATTATTTTGCAGAACTTCGACGAACAACAAAAAAAATGGCGGTCTAGCAATTTCGATCAAAACTCTGGAGAAAAAAAACGCGCGAAAAATTGCCAGGCAGCTAAGCACCAAAACTAGCTCGGTCTAAATGCGCGAACCGATCCGAGACTACCTCCCGAGGTGGTCTAGTTTAATTCGACCTCGATTCGATCTCGGTTCGTTTTGGGCTGTCCACACTTGGTCCGATACGGACTGAGACCGCTTTTTGATCGATCTAAATTGCTAGTGTGAACAGCCCCTAAAGTTCATCAATAATCGTTGGCGTGGCTCACCAACGATGTTGAGTGGGTGGTCATCCTCACTGATCTCAAAAATATGGCTGATTGCTTGTAGGAGTGGACAAGCAAGATTTCAATTTTAAAAGACATATAATTATTTGGAAAATTGTTTCATATACAACAAGCTTGAAGCAATTTTGTTTGAAGAAATGAGAAGAATTGATTTACTATTGGAAATCGTGAAATATACGGCAAGTTTGCTTTGAATATTTATTGTTTACGAGTTTTGTACTGTTGCTTTAACTTTTTGCGTAAAAACATGAACTGTTTTCCTTTTTAACGAAGCTCTAAGTTTCATAAATTACCGTTTAATTTGAGAAAAAATCTTAAAATGTAAAGGAGACCAAATTGATTTGAAGACTGAAATGAAATTACCGATAAACAATTTGTTATATTTGTATTAAACTTATTATGTTTCAGTTAAGTAAAAACAGTTTATCGGCAAATAGTGTAGTTTAGTTGTCTTGAATGAACATTTCAAAACATTTTACGAAGTGTTTCAAGTTAAATTTTACATTAAATCAAAGCTCACAAACTGCAAAATTATATACCTAAAGTATATGTTTCGGAAATTTATTGTTGTATAGTTTAAAGTACGAATCGTTCAACTATTTTTCAGTTTTGTACGAAAAATATGAAAAAATTAAAAATTTAAGAATATCGTGCTGTCATGGCAACACTTGACTGCGAGCCTTCGTTCAGTGTTGGCCATTTCTGAATACTTCATGTTAATTTAATGTTTGGAAAATATTGGTGAGGGGTTACTGCATGCATACATTTCTAGTTTACTGTTTACTGCAGAAGCCATATTTAAACGTGATATGCAAATTGCGAAGGAAGTAGAATAAATCATGTCCGTGATTTCTGGCCATGACTACGTGATGATAATTGTCTTCTCCATTGTCATATGCTAACAGGGCGGTAAGTCTATCACACAGTGTTAATTAAGACATTATAATTATATTAATTAATCAGACAAAAGAGATTTAGACTTTTAAATTACTTCAACCGCATATGAACACATCACTGGAAGTGACATGACAATTGAAAGGTTTGGGGGAAACGACCTTGGTGCCATTCGACGACAAACTGGACAAAGCTGAACACAATAATGCAAGAACAAACCGGCGGCTCGACAAGTTTTGCAGCAATGAGTGATGACGACATCGTGGAAATGCTTTCAAAAAGTAGAAGCTAAAATCTTCTACCATTCCAAACAAAATGCAGTTCCCATCGCCAAAAACGGTTCTAATTAACAAAGAGTTAAGAACTTACCATTTACAATTACCTTGTGTAAGAAATTCATTGAAACTTCAGTAGTTGAAAGCTAGAAAGTCCTGTTACTTTTCGGCTTCATCATGAAGTTTTTTGTGTAGGAACATTCATTGAAACTTTAGTAGTTCAAAACTATAAAGTTATAGTTTCTAACTGTGTAAAAACATTCATTAAAACTTGAAAACTGTAAAGCAGGTTGAAAACTGTAAAGTAGGTAGCCTTATTTTTTTACTTCATCAGTTCGTTTTGTAGAAATATTCATCATCGAAACTTCAGTAGGTTAAAACTTTAAGGTTCCAGTTTTTTTGTAAAACATTAAAACTTCAACAGTTAAACTATGTAATGAATTCAATTACCCGGTATATATATAGTTGTGTTCAAATTTGCATTTCTTCAATTTATTGTCTGCATGCAATATTCAGTAAAAGTCCCATTTGATTTAAATGTTCTTTGTTGAGACTTTAGTTGTAGTATTATATACTTCTATTTTAACTACAATTAATAGTTGTACCAATGAAATAATAGAAAATGTTGTTTACTTATACGTATCTTTACTTCTTCAAACTCTTTACCGCATTAGTACAACTATACTTTATTCGCCAAGGCTGTACTAAGGCATCATTTGCTACTTTTCAGGTAAACTAGTTTAGTTCTAAAAAATGTCTAGCCTAAAAACAGTCAGCCGCTCTTTGGTTATTTTTGGGTTTCACTTCGGCAATATGCAGTGGATCTGACCGGGGGTCAACCTCAAATGTATTGATGCTTATACTGTACTGGAGAGAGAAAATGATACGAAATTCCATGTATTTGTCACCAAACACAAGGCTAATACATAAAACGAGCAATCGACTCACCCTGATAACTGTGTTTTGTGTTAGAGTTGACCCCCCGTCATGACCAGCCTACACGAATTACCGAAAAAGCAGCTTCTCTTTTGGAAGTCGCTCTTATAGACAATCCTGGAAAGATTTCGCACTCAGGAGTATTGCATGTTGGAATAAGTGATCATAGCTTGATCTACGTTTGTAGAAAAATGTCGTTTGTAAAAAAATGATCCCAAATTTGTTGAGTCAAGAAATTTAAAAAACTACATACAGCGAGATTTTAACAAAGACTTATACCATGCATTAATTATTTCAAATTGGGAGATAAATGATCCAAATATGCTTTGGGAGAACTTTCAAACAACATTTAATTATGTTGCTGACAATCATGCTCCACTTCAAAGCCGTAAAGTTAGAAACCAAAAGGCACCGTTGTTGACCAATGCAAGTAAGATAAGGCTGAATTCGCGAGATTATCTCAAGAAGAAAGCTCTGA